CGGGGCTCTCGGTGGAGATGCGCTCCACGATGCTGGACAGGCAGTCGAGGCTCGACACTGCAGCGCTCTTCCCGGGCCTCGGTTCTGCGCGGGGAGGGAGAGGTTAGTATGCAGGGGGGTGAGTTTCCAACAATTCTCCCACGCGGGTCCCCGTGCTTTGGGACCGACTGGAAACGGATGGCCTGCCATTGTCCGGCGCGATCCACCGAGAGTGCGGGCAAAAAGAGGGAGCTAAGCGCTTGGTATTTCGTTCCTTGCACCTTCTTCCAGGATTTGTGTGTGTAAGGGGAACGTGGGAACCAGGCGCGAATACGCACCGCTGGACGCCTGGCTGAAGTAGGAGCCATCGTAGCAGTTCCGTCGCCGGGCGCCGCTGGTGGGGCCGCTGTAATCCATCTGCAAAGGGCAAGGGCGATCGACTCAGGCCGCGGGACCACTGGAACATCACTCTCTGTGTCCCCACCCCAGCTCCCCAAGTCTCAGCCACGAGTTTCCTGTCCTACATGATGGTGGGGCTGGGATTAGGGTGGACAGGAGCTATCTGGAGCTGTCAGGCCAAGTAGAAGACGGACTGTCACCTAGGAGCACATATCTTAACTTTGGAAATAGGAATACGGCGGGGGGTGGGGAACAGACCACGGAGCAGCAGTGTTCTAATAGCACTCCCAATCAGGTGGCTCGCACGTTTGCCGTGCGTCCCCCAAACACTATCTAGGACACGGGATCCACTCCCCGGAAGGTTCCCCGTCCAACCCTCCCCCCAGAGGAAATGCTTCACAGATGTACCCCGAGAGCTGCCCCACTCCTCCTCTATCCCGGGGTTCCAGCCTCACCATGCCGTCGGAGCAGTTGGAGCGCGGGCTGGATGCGTCGGAGTCGCCGCTGTAGTGCTCGCCACCGCGGCCAGAAGGCAGCGGGCCGGGCGCGTAGAAGGCAGCCGCGGCGCCAGGGGGCGCGGCGTCCTGGTCGCGTAGCAGCGCCTGCAGTCCCTCGATGTAGCGGATGGCGTTGCGCAGGATCTCCACCTTGGGCAGCCGCTGGTTAGGATTGCTAGACGTGCAGCGCTTGAGCGTCTCGAAGGCCTCGTTGACTTTGCTCAGGCGGCGCCGCTCGCGCATGGTGGCAGCCTTGCGGCGGTCGGCGTTGGTGGTCTTGCGCTTGCACGCCTTGCAAGCCCAGAGTAGACAGCGGCCCGCCTGGTGGTGCCCACTAGGCGCGCGCACATGCTCGTCCTCGCGGGCGCCGGGGGCCGGGTGCACAGCCGCAGGGAAGTGGGAGTCCTCAGGTTTCAGAAATGCGCCCACGTGCACGAGGCGCGGGTCCAGGTCCTCAAAGAAGCGCAGATCCGGGGAGTCGAAACACGGGTCATCATAGAAGTCGTCCGCTGTAGCAAAGTTGCAGAGAGAGCCGTCGGGACCCGTCAAGTCTACGTCGCGTAGCGGTGGCGACAGCAGCTCCATATCTCGGCCCGGGGCTGCGCAGTCCAGGCTTTGCCCAACCCCAGCGGCAAGGATTGCCCTAAACTTTCTGCCACCCTGGAGCCCCGGCCGGGCGCCGTGTGATAGCAAAGTGCTGGGGGTCTGGATGTATACCCGCTCACCCCCTACCCTGCCCTGTCCGGTCCGGCCTGACGGGCACCCGGGAAAGTGGCGGCAGTGCCCTGGGGCTTCTCCACCCCTAACTTCAAGCTGGGAGCCGGGGGCTATTTATCCAGTAGTAGCCTACTGGTCCCCCGAGCTGGAGCCGGCTGCTGGGGGCGGGGGCGCCCAAGGCCAATAGGAGCAAGGAAGGGAGGAGCTTGGGATCCCCTGGGTGGCCGCGGAGGCCATCCCCCTACCTCTCCACACCCCGAGCGCGCGCGCTCTGACTCCTCCCCAGGCAGCAAGGGAGGCAGAAGCTGGCAGCGCGACGCGGCGCGGCTGCACTTGGCTCCCTGGCACACTCTTTACAAACCTCTCCAGCACAAGACTCTCCCTGTGTCCACAGGAAACGCTGGCCGAGGGCGCTCACCTCCCAACTGACTTTGGGCTCCTCTGTCCTCTGATTTGGGGTAGGAGGACCCAGAAGCAGGGTAGGCGTAGAAGTCAGATGGGAAGAGATTTGGAGAGAGACACACTCAGAGCTGAGATAGTGAGTCCGTGAGAGGTATACCCAAGAGGCTGGGAGACAGTCAGAAAGCAGAAGGCTAGAGTCAGAGGCAGTGGAACGCCCAAACGAGAGAGAGACTCCAGAGATGGACTCTGAGAGTCTAAGTGGGTAAACCTGAGTCAAACTGGACGTGACAGCCTGCTCATTAGGCCAGCTCCTGCTCGTCTTCCCTGCACGTTTGGAAATCCAGCTGCATCTATACTGGAGTCTAGGATTGCTGCGAAAGCTTTGCCCTAAGCTCTCCAAATTCAGCTCCGGTCCCTGCTTTGAGGGAGGAAAATGGACTCCTTGACCGTCTCAACCTGCACATTTTGGCACCTGGGTATCCAGTGCCGCTCTAGGAGGCACTCTCTCTTCATCTGGAAAGAAAACTCCATCTGCTCAGGTGTTGCCTCCTGTCTGGCCCGCAGGGCTGCACCAGAAAAGCTCATTGCACAAAGGCCTCGAATGCCCAGACCCATCCTGAGAACACCACTTCAGTGTGGAGTTTGCAGAACAATGACCTAAGTTCCAATACAGAGCCCCCCACCTCCCCAGTTTCCTGTCTGATTTTGTGGAAGTCACTGGCCTTCCGAGCCTATTTCCCCACTTTGCAAATTTGGGGATACTAATAGTGATCTCTAGGAGTGATTGTGGTGAGAATCTGGAGACAAAAGATGTGGTAGCCCACAGTCTGAGGTGCAAGGCTATATTAACAAGAAGGGCTTGCTCCTGTCACTGGCAACGGTGGACTGTACCCTCCCTGCAGGCTCCCCAGCTGTTGGCTGGGGCATTGAGAGCCCTGACAGGGGCCATGTAGTCTCAGGGCTCAGCTCCCACTGAGGCTATAGCTGCATTTCTTCCCAGAGGGCCACTGCAGAGACTGAGAATAGGAGGCAGCCACCCCATGGGATCTCTGGCTCCCTCACAAGCCTTGGGAGGAGATGGAGAGACTTGAGAGATGTCTCAAGTACCCCCATACGGCTTGTCAGCCTCTTCCTGAATCTGCAGTCCACACATTCCTCTCAGCACTCTGGCTAGAGGTCTCACTTGGACTAGACACTCCCTTGGGTCTCTTCTTCTGGAGCACAGAGATAGAAGGAAAAATGATTTTTGTGCCTTTCCCACTAACTTCTGGAATCCTTCCTAACTGGTTCCCTGGATGCTGGGAAGCCCCCCTTTCCCATCAAACCTAGAGAGGGCTCTTTTGGAGCCCTGCCTTCTTCACTCGTAGTAGTGCTGAAAACCCCTTTCATGAAATGTTCGCCTCCCTTGGCTCCATACCATCACTTTCGTTTATTTATTGAACACATATTATGGAGCATCAATTTGGTGTGCCAGGTATTGGTCCAGGTGTTGAGGATAAAGTAATGAACAAAATTAAGGTGCTTTCATGGCGCTTACATTTTAGGGTAGGGTGATAGACAATAAATGAATAAACAAAGAAATATACTGTGTGATGTCAGGAGGTTATACATCCTATAAAAAAAATAAAACAAGGCAAGGGAACAAAGCAATGAAGATTATTTCATTATATGGAGTGGTCAGGGAAGACCTCTGTAGGCTGATTACATTTGAGCAGAGTTCTGAATGAAGGGGGTGGAGCAGAAGTAGACATCTGGAGCCAGACAGAAGGAAAAGCATGTGCAAAAGTCCTGGGGCAGGGTTGTGTTTGGTAGATTTAAAGTACAGCAAGGAGGCCGGTATGTCCGGAGAAGAGTGAGCCAGTGGGAGAGTAGTGGGAGATAGGGTCAGAGGGGGAGCAAAGAAATTGTATTCTGGAAAGTCATTTGGAGGGCTTGAGCAGAAGAGAAGAATGTTATAATCTGACTTACATTTTATCAGGAGCATATTGGTTATAGAGAGCAAGGGCAGAAGCAGGGAGAGCAAATGGAGGCTATTGCAATATTCCAAGTGAGTAGTAATGGTGGCTTAGATGTGGGTGGCAGCTGTAGAAATGGTGAAAGTGGTTGAATTCCAGATATATTTTGAAGATGGAGTCAGCAAGGCTTATTCATAATTGGATGTGGGCACTGAGATGAGAGGACTTAAGGATGACTCCTGGAAGAGTGAAGTGGGGGAAGAGCAGGTTTGTGGGTGACAGATCAAGAGTCTGAGTTTGGGCAAAATTTGAAATGCATATTCAATATCCAGGTGGAGATGTCAAGTAGGCAAGAGGATTTATGAGGCCGGAGTTCCAGAGGAGAGATCTGTGCATGTGGAGGACCTCTCCACTTAACCTCTAAGACATCTCTCAAGTCTCTCCATCTCCAGTGTCACCATCCTGGACTGAGCTGCCACACTGCTGGCATGGACAACCCCAACCGCCTCCTGGCTACTCTTCTTACTTCCACTCTTGTTCCAGTGTATTCATTCACTACACATCAGGCTGAGTAATCCCTTAAAGACATAAATGGGATTATAACCCTCTTCTGCTTCAAACTCCCTAACAGCTTCTCATTGCATTTAGAATAAAGTCTCATCTCCTCACCCTGGCCTAGAAGACCCTGCATGAGCTGCCTCAGCCCATCTCTGGAATTTCACCTGAATCACTGTCCCCTTTGAAATCCATTCTAACCTGACCACCTTTCTTGTTTTCCAACCCTCTGAGCACGGTTCTGCCTCAGGGCCTTGTTCTTGCTGATTACAGCACCCTCTCCCGGGCTCTTCCAGACTGGTTGCTTTTCATATATCAGGTCTTAGCTCACATGTCTCTCACCACCCTGCTCATTTCCTTCTTAGCACAGCTACTCCTTAATTATCTTCTTTATTAGTTTTGTTCATTGATTGATGTAGCTCCATAAAGGCAGGGACGTTTTATTGATCATGGCATTTCCAGAAACCAACACAGTGGCTGTCACATAGTATGAACTTGATAAATGTCGAATGAATGAATGGGTGGCCCTTTGATTCTCTATATTTGAACTTCTTGAAATGTGTCATTGGTGAGGATGGCTGTATTTCTTTTAAACTGGACAGTTGCATAGATGTTTAGAGATACATGCTCAGTCACACTTGCTCTTCCCAGGCAAGACTAAGGCCCGTTGACCTGGGGCATGTTACTTTATGTTGAGCAATTACACATGGCTTGCTAGAAAATTGTAACAGTTTACCAAAGAGAGATTTGGTGCTTATTGTAAGCTTGAGTCTTTTCATTTGACTACCACTCACAGTGAAGAATGTGAATAATTCTTACATGAGTGATTTAGATCGAAACAAACATTCTTCCTACTTGCTCAGGCCTCAGCAGAATGCCTGGCACATAGTAGGCACTCAGTAAATATTTGTTGGATGAATGAATGAGTGAGTCAAACCATTTTATTGAAGAGTACTTTGAGATTTTCAGGTGAGCTCTTCCAACCACATATCCATACAAATCTAGACTTTTCTCAAACCTGAGCAAGCAAAGAAAACACAGAAATAAATCGCATGCTGAGACTTAAATGATTACAACTTGGCTTTTTTTGTGTCTTTTGCATTCAGAAAAACAACCTCAGGGCTGCCATCAAGGTGACAATAAATACATGTTATGTTTAAACTTACCAAACAGGTTTAATATTTTATCCCATGTGGCTTAGGAATCTAAACTGCTTTGGTAGCTTTCAACTTGATTTGGAGCTTTATCTTCTTCTTCAGTAATTAGGGAGCACTTTTTAAAAAATGCTCACACACCCTAGAGGTGCACGCCACTTTCACATTAGACTTCCGCATGGAATTTTGTTTGCTACGAGGCTTCCGCTGCTTGATGAGTTTGGGAATCCCTGGGCTCGGTGAGCATTGCAGATCTCTCCAGGACTGGGACCCATGCCTGCCCAAGGTCGCTCTCCTGGTTGTGCCACTGCATCTTTGGGGGCAGGCTTGCCAGCACCACCATCTCATCCCTGTTGGTAGAGAAGGACATCCTGAGCCCTGGTGCTGGGTTGGGGGCAGGGAGGAAAAGGACATTAAGTTTGGAAGCTGAAAGAGTCCAAATCCTAATATTGCAGAGTCTAGTCAAGGGTGTCCCTCGGGGATTTGTCCTGGTGAGCTCAATGACAATGTGCTGAGGGTCCTATGGAGGGGCCACCCCCCAGTACCTCTTCCTCCAATTCAAGGCTGAGCAGACTGGTTGGGCTATGTATTTGGGGCAAGTGCACACCTCACCCCAGGCCTTGGTTTTTCGTTCTTTACACGGAAGAGCTCTTTTGGTAACAGGTGGGGGGTGGGGAGGGCTCCCTGCCTCTTCTTCCTCCACCCTCTCTAGTCCCCCCTCCTCAGCTCCCTGGCCTGTCTGCCTCAGGCTATAAATGGAGAGCCAGCCTCTGGACAGGAATGCTGAGCGTTCCTGGCTGGGTCCCGAAGTGTTGCGCCCTCAGGGAGCGGCCGGCCCCTGGGCTCCCGGCAGCCTTTTTATATATATATATAGCCTCTGGAAACCCAAGCCAGCCTGCACCTGTCCCGGTCCTCAAGCACCCTGCCCCTGCCCAGACTGGACGTGCGGCCTCTCCCTATGGCCTGGCACATGCCTGGCCCCGGATGGGGGTGCCACAGGGCCAGACGGTGAAAATATG